GGATCAAGGATCAGCTAAACAAGTGTGGGTGGAGAAACAAGGGGTGTCAAAGGACACAAAGCAATCATCAGAAAGGGAAACAAGCAACAATTCCCAACAGGCTATAGCGAGTACGTACCAGCAATCTGGAGAGAGGAATATAAATGAAACCCAGACGTTGCAAAGCCCAAACAGCAAGTTGATGGAAAGTTGTGATAAATCGGGGATGCAAGACATCGCGGTGCAAAAGCAGCCACAAGAGCCTCCAAAGGAAACAATACAAGTCCCCAACCTTGCTACGTTGCCCATGCAGGGAAGCCATGCAAATATGGGTACTTCGCACGATGGGGTGGAAACCTTCTCCCCAGCAGAAATGGAGGTTTTATTGAGAAACCAGCATCACCTGTCCGATGTTCCTCAGGGGCATGAGACTGGTGAAAATGGGAGTCTTTCACCGGCTCCCTCCGCGATCCAGTAGCCCGAGTCGTCGGGACCCCCAGCGTCCAGGATTTATGGAGTTGAACATTTTTGTTTGGAATTGCAGGGGAGCAGGAAGCAATCGCTTCCTTCGAGTATTTAGAGAATACAAGAGGAAATACAAACCGAGTATGGTGGTGATTGTAGAGCCACGTATTAGTGGCGACAAGGCCGAGAGAGTCGTTGATAGCATGGGGTTCGAGGAGCATTTGATTGTGGACGCTACTGGGTTCTCCGGAGGCATTTGGCTACTTTGGAACTCCTCGGTGATCACTATTACAGAAAGCAAAAAATCGTCCCAGCTACTTCACGTCGACGTCCAGTACGGAGATAAAAGTTGGAACTTCACGGCAATCTATGGTAATCCTGCACTAATCCAGCGCAGAGCACTTTGGGACTCAATAAGGGAGATTGCGGCGAACCAAACGCTCCCATGGATCCTAGCAGGGGATTTTAACGCCCTTCTTCATGCTTCTGAGAAAATGGGAGGAACGGGCCTCGACTCCAGTCAGGTCAAAGATTTCCAGGACTGCGTCCTTGACGCAGAGTTGATGGACTTGGGGCACACAGGACCACAATTTACGTGGTTCAGGACTGGAGTGAGAGAAAGACTGGATCGGGGACTAGTGAATAATTCATGGGCAGGAGCTTTCCCGGACACCATTGTTCGACATTTACCCAGAGTGAAATCAGACCATCGACCCATTCTCATCATCGTCAACCCTCAGTTCCGTCCGGCTGGTCCCAAACCTTTCAAGTTCCTTGCAGCTTGGCTCATGCACGAGGGCTTTCATCAGATGGCTTCCGATGCCTGGGCCAGGGGCTCGGATCTCCAGTCCTCTATTCAAGAATTTGTCCGAGCAGCCGGGAGATGGAATAAAGAGACTTTTGGCCATATATTGAAAAAGAAGAACAACCTTCTTAACCAGATTGAATGCATGGAGGAGGCTAATGGGGGTGACTCGGCGGCAGAGGCCCTACAGAAGCTTCGCCTTGAACTGGAAGAAGTTCTTTTACAGGAAGATCTGCTATGGTGTCAGAAGGCAAGACTGGAATGGATCGTGTCCGGTGACCGGAACACGAAGTATTTTCATGCTCGGACAATGAGGCGCCGAAGACAGAACAGAATGGTCGCATTAAAAGGCACTGACGGGGAGTGGATTGAAGACCCAGACCATTTGCTTGACCTGGCGCGAGCACATTTCCAAGGTCTCTATACTGACGAGGGAATGCAAGCAGAAGCACTTATGGCAGCTTTCCCGTTCCTGGCAGCTGATGTTTGGAAGCCCCTCGATACAAACTTCTCGGCCGAGGAGGTTGCCTGTGCAGTTCGAGCCATGGGTCCTTTGAAGGCCCCTGGTAAAGACGGGTTAAACCCTCTCTTCTACCAACGCTGCTGGGAGGTCGTTGGCTCAAGGGTGGTGGAGTTCCTTCAAGGCTGCTGGGCTGAGCCGAGTAGGATAAGGGCAGTCAATGAAACTATTGTGGTGCTGATTCCTAAAATTCCGAAACCCACATTGATTGAGCAATTCCGGCCGATAAGCCTTTGTAACGTGACTTATAAGATCTTGACCAAGAGCCTGGCGGAGAAACTCAAGCCACTTATGCCGAGCCTCGTGGATGAGACCCAAACAAGTTTCGTCCCGGGTCGTCATATTACTGACAACATCTGTATTTTGCAGGAAGTGGTACATTCAATGAAAGCGAAGAAGGGAAGAGTCGGGTGGATGGCGATCAAAATAGACCTGGCCAAGGCATACGACAGGATCCGGTGGAGCTTTGTGCAAGACACGCTTCAGGCAACGGGCGCCCCAGCCCCATTTATCGCACTAACGATGCAATGCATTTCTACAGCAAAAATGCAAATACAGTGGAATGGTGGTTTGACGCAGGAGTTTGTACCTACCAGGGGACTGCGCCAGGGGTGCCCGCTTTCCCCCTACATCTTCACGCTGTGCATGGAGAGACTGGGGCAACTAATCAAAAAGGAGGTTGCGGATGGAGGGTGGAAGCCGATTAAACTTTCTAACAATGGTCCTCTGTTATCTCATTTATTTTTCGCAGATGACCTCATCCTATTCGGGGAAGCTTCGGTGCAACAAGCAGAAACTATACTAAAGTGTTTCGACGATTTTGGTGCGGCATCGGGTCAGCAAATCAGCAAGCCCAAGTCCCGGGTCTTCTTCTCCGGTAACGTTACCGCAAGCTCCGGCCAGGCTATAAGTTCTTCTCTGGGAATTCCGGCTACAAATAACCTGGGGAGGTATTTAGGTGTCCCAGTCATTCACGATAGAGTTTCGAAGAATACCTTCACAGCTCTCATTGACAAGATTGATGCGAGGCTAGCGGGGTGGAAGGTGGCAAGTATGTCTCTGGCAGCTCGGATTACTCTCGCCTAGTCAGTCCTGACATCTCTTCCCGCCTACACAATGCAAACAACCCTGCTACCGGCCAGTGTATGGGACTATATCGACAGGAAGATAAGAGGATTTGTATGGGGAAGCTCGGAAGCAGGTCGCAAGATACATCTTATTGATTGGGTAACCGTTTGTCGCCCCAAAGAAGAGGGGGGGTTGGGGCTCCGTAGTGCAGCTCGCATGAATGAAGCATTTATGCTTAAAATCGCCTGGAGATTACTCACTGAGCCGGAGAGCCTGTGGGTGCGGGTGATTCGAGCCAAGTATATGTCCCATTCCGAAGATGGGCTCGTACCGCGCACGACAGGGCGAATTTCTAATCTCTGGAGGGGAGTACTACGAGTCATGCATCTGATTCCTGAGGCGTTAATGTGGAACGTTCAGAGTGGCAGTCAAACCAATTTTTGGGTCGATCGGTGGCTTAACGATGGACCTCCCTTGGCGGAAGTTGCAGCGAACCTTCCAGAGGAGGCGAGATCGATGAGGGTGGCTGAGTTAGTATTAAATGGGGAATGGAACGTAAGTTATTTGAGACTATTCCTCCCCGAGAGCTGGGTAGAAAAGATAAACCTCCACCCGATCCCGATTGACACTGGTCATGATATCCCGCTTTGGCGGCTTACTCCGAATGGGAGGTTTAGCCTAAAGTCAGCATACGAAATCACGGATGAGGAGGAGAGGCCTGGCGGCTCGCACCCTGTTTGGAGGGCTGTTTGGCGTATCCCGGCAACCCAGCGGGTCCGATCTTTCTTTTGGCTCTTCGTGCATGACAGGTTGTTGACGAATGGAGAAAGATATCGCAGGCACTTGAGCACGACAACGACATGTCCCATATGTGATCACGAGCAGGAGAGTGCACTTCATGTGGTTAGGGACTGCTCCCTGGCTCGTGCTGTGTGGGCCGATATTCTGGGGAACGAACCTGATGAGGCTTTCTTCCAGGAGAACAGGGTGCAGTGGGTACTCCACTATATATCGGGCCGAAGTAAAAACATCGACCCCACTCTCTATGCGGGGGTATGCTGGCTTCTTTGGAAGAATAGGAACAAGTTTGTATTTGAACAAGAGCTCAGCTCACCGGAGGTAATCAGACGTAAGGCGGCAGAACTTCTCCAGCAAGTAAAAGAGTCCTCGAAGCGGGATGTACTAGAAGGGAAAAGCTCTCCGATGAGGCGTAGGCAAGAAATCAGATGGGACCCTCCGGCGCGGGGATGGGTCGCCTTGAACACAGATGGCTCGGTGAAGAATGGTCAGGCCGCGGCAGGGGGTGTTCTTAGAGATGACAGTGGCCGAATCCTGAAAGCATTTGCAGGGAACATTGGTGAAGTCTCAATTACGAGAGCTGAGTTGGAAGGTATGGTGCATGGTTTGAAGATGGCTTGGGACGAGGGCTTCCGGCGGGTAGTGCTCCAAACTGACTCACAAGCTGCCATCCAGTTGATTGAAGGAGCAGAAGAGCGAACTCCTCATTTCCTGGCGGTGCAGTCTGCTCGCCGGCTTCTGGACAGGGAGTGGCAAGTTCGGCTTGTTCACGTCTTTCGTGAAGGGAACTATGTTGCAGATTACCTCGCCTCAGTGGGGCATCGACTGCCGATCGGTTTCCATTCTAGAGAGGAGCCGGACCCAATCCTGAACTATTGGATGTACTTTGATGTTATGGGGGTGGAAACATCTCGTATGATTAATGTCTAACGGTTGGAGTGCCCGTCGCACTCCGTTTTCTCACCCAAAAAAAAAAACGTCTACAATAATCTTTATAGAATGACGACTTTGAATTCGATGATTGCAAATCCAATCCTTCATCCGGTCAACCCATCAATCTAACTCAATACTCTCCTCTTCTGTCCAGCGGTCTTTATTTAATTACATTGCTAATTAGTAAGAGCTAATTAATTGCCCCTATATCCTCTTTTTTTTTTTTTTTTGGTGGGGTCCTATTTTTATTGTTAAGCTTAAAAATGGTAAACAGAATTTATTGTATAGTTAAACACATTGATTAAGCACAAGCCACCCGAGATTTACTGCTTCCTCACAGCCGTAAAATTTGTGAATTCAAAAAAAACAACAAATATCTGCCTGAAAAAGAACAATTTAACAGAAAACCCCCCAACACAACAACATGAATCCCTAAATTCTCTTTCCTCCATTGTTGTTGTTCTCCGTCCGAAGCTTTCACCCATCCATGGCGTCCGTACCCGTTTCCCCTTCCCTCCCCTCCTTCCTCTTCTTCTTCTTCCTCTTGCTCAGCCCTGCACTTTCTCAGCAACAAGCATCCAAGTCCAGAAAAGAGCGAGCAGGATCAGGAGAAACCGGAAGCGGAGGAGGCGGAGAATCATCATCGGCGGCGGCGGTGGTTCCACAACTCGATTGCTCCGGCCGTTGGATCCACATCCGGCGTCTCCCGGCGAGGTTCAACCTCGATCTCCTCACAAATTGCTCAGAGTACGACCTCTTCTACGATTTCTGCCCTTACCTCTCCAATCACGGCCTCGGACCCAAGACCCACAACCGATCCCACTCATGGTACCGCACCGACCCTTTCCTCCTCGAGCTCACATTCCATCGCCGGATGCTCGAATACCCGTGTTTAACCCAAGATCCCGGCCAGGCCGCCGCTGTCTACCTCCCGTACTACGCCGCCATCGATTCCCTCCGCTACCTCTACGGGCCGGAGGTGAACAACAGCATGGATCACGGCCTGGAGCTCTTCGAGTTCCTGCAGGAAAACGACGGGTGGATTTGGGGGCGGAATTCCGGGTTGGATCATTTCCTGGTTCTCGCCCGACCCGCCTGGGACTTCTCCCAGCCTCCAGATCTCGACCCGCCAATTTGGGGGACTTCGTTCTTGGAGCTGCCGGAATTCTACAATCTCACGGCGCTTGTCGTCGAAGAGAGGTTATGGCCGTGGCAGGAGCAAGCCGTGCCCTATCTGACGTCGTTTCACCCCCCGAGTGGCGAGCTCCTCGATTCATGGATCAATCGCGTCGAGGCGTCTCGAAGAACTACATTAATGCTGTTCGCCGGCGGCGGAGGTGTCTCCGCGCAGGCCAACATCCGGCGGAGCATAAGGAATGAGTGCGAGAACACCAGCGATACGTTTGAGAGCAATGGCGGGTGGTACTATTACTCCAAAGTATGTGACATTGTCGATTGCGCTAATGGGAAATGCGAGCATGACCCGATTCTGTACATGAGGCCGATGTTGCAGTCCACATTCTGCTTGCAGCCTCCCGGAGACACTCCAACGAGGAGGTCCACGTTCGATGCCATCATCGCCGGGTGCATACCGGTATTCTTTGAGGATCAATCGGCGAGGACGCAGTACAGGTGGCACTTGCCGGAGGAAGCTTATGGGGAGTTTGCTGTCCACATTCAGAAGGAAGATGTTGTTTACAAAGGACTGAAGATTTTGGATGTCCTGATGGGGATTTCGCGGGCGCGAGTTCGGAGGATGAGGCAGAAGGTCATTGAATTGATTCCAAGAGTTGTTTACAGGAAGCATGGAAGTAGTTCTTCAAAGGGGTGGAAAGGGCAGAAGGATGCTTTTGACATCGCCATTGATGGAGCTCTGGAGAAGATCAGGTCCAGGGTGAAAGGTGAAGTAGAAATCGGAGACCTTTCTTCTGTGTGAGAGCTCCATTGCTTTTCCAGACTGTTGTTGTAACATTATTAGCACTTGGTCTTCTTTATTTGTCTTCGTTTTTTGAATGGATGAATTTTTGAGGAAGAAAGCTAGGGTTAGTAGAGAACTTTGAGCTTGTATCGCAAGTATTGTAAAGAGTTTCAGATTTTGGACAGGAAAGAATGAAACTTTCTTTATTTTGGGGATACCAAAAATTGAAAAGGGTTACACAGAAGGGAAGCAACAAGTTTGTTTGTAGTACATATGGGACACAAAAGGTAAGAAAATAACTAAACAAACTGGATGTTACAAGGAATTCTGTTCTAATTTGATGTCTCTCCCTCATTTTAGAGACATTGGTGAAAAAAGAAGGCAAATGTAAGAAAGATTTCAATTTTCAGCCCCATCTAATGATAGCAGAGCCCCAAGTTAGACCAGCACCGAAACCAGCAGCAGCAATTGTATGACCTGGCTTCACTTTCCCACTTCGAACGGCTTCATCTAATGCCAAGGGAATGGAAGCCGCACTCGTGTTACCATAACTCGCCAGATTCGAAATCACCCTGTCGGAAGGAAGCTTCAGACGGTCTGCAACCGAATCTATGATCCTCTTGTTCGCCTGCAAAAAAAGGTACCTTCTTTATAGTATGAATATCACCTTCCAGTTTTATCGATGATCCATACCGAAATGGATTCATGTTACCTGGTGGAGTAGCAACCAATCAATGTCAGCTGGAGTTAGACCAGCCTTTTGGAGAGAAGACTCGATAGTCTCTGGTACACACTGCACGGCAAAGCGATAAACTTCTTTACCGTTCATATTAATGCATGAATAAGAGGAGCGTCTTGGAGGGAAGTTGACGACTGATCCATTAGAACCGAGTGCATGATCCACTTCACTCTGCTTTATTGATGCATTCAAATGTCTGCATGATGGGACGATAACCAGTTACAACTGGTGAATTTCTGGCTCGAGGACAAACCCTAATCTAATCATATCACATACCTCTGGCCATCACCGTCACTATGCAAGTCGAAGCTGAATAAACCGTCATCCTCACCGTCACAGGCCTGCAGAGTAGAATATATTCCAAAAAAAATCGGTTAAGAAAAGAAGGGGTCCTTGATGCAACATTGTCAAGGGCTCAGGCCAATGTATTTCCATAATACATGATATCATTAGGTTTACCCAAAGATTTCAAGAATACAACATTTCGTCGAGTCCACCATTACACACATTCTTACAATCCCGTCTACAAAATACCTGATTTCTTAAGATTCGTGTATTATTTATACATGGTTACCAAATGACTCCTTAAAAGAATTTTGAGCTTTCAATGTAAAACCATGAATTATATACCTGTACCAATACCGCGCCAGCAGCATCACCAAAGAGAATACAAGTTCCTCTATCAGTCCAGTCGACATATCGAGAGAGGGAGTCAGCACCAATTACCAAGACATTTTTAAATCCACCTCCTGCAATGATTCAATAGAGATACAGTTATTTAAACAGGATGGAGTGGGAGAAATGAGTCTCGAAGGGTAGGCTTAAACATATGTTACCCCTAATGTGAGCAGAAGCAGAGACTAGCCCCAAAACGAATCCACTGCATGCTGCTGTTATGTCGTATGCCAAAGGGTTTCTTTTGCAGCCAAGCTGCTTTTGGATCTGAGAATCCAAAGAAGAGATAAAATGAGTATAAGATAGGGAGCACCAAAGATTCTTCATAAGAATTTGGGAACAAAAGAACAGGTAATTTTAGAATATATTAAACTGCATCTTTTGATACCTAACCTCCCCAAAACATTTGTATCCAGCAAATCTTGTCTAAGAGGAAAAAGGTGAGGATACATCCAAAACCAGTCAATTAAAACATGTTTTCTCCTCTCTCTCAAACCAGTCAAGTTTCAGGTTTAGGACATCAGATTGCCTACAATCTAGCATTCATGTTATGCTGAAGATAGAACTCGAACTCTACAAGTCAGTTAAGGAAGCTTAGAAAACCTATTGAAGGGGTTAAATAACAATTGAGACAGACGTCCAAAAAGTCACAAGATTTCGTAAATGCATGCAAAAGATGACAAACCATACTACCAAACAAAGGCTAAATTGTTCAACTTACGACATAATAATGCTCATCCAAAACCAGTCAATTAAAACATGTTTTCTCCTCTCTCTCTCCCCCCCCCCCCCCCCCCCCCCCCCCCCCCCCACACACACACTACTTATTTACTTAGAGTTCATATCTGCCAAGCAAAATACAAGCTTTCATATGTCTAACAAACTAAGTTCTCCACTGAGATATAGGCAGATGGAGACAGATATGACGCATTCTTTGCACATATGGTCAAGTTTCAGGTTTAGGACATCAGATTGCCTACAATCTAGCATTCATGTTATGCTGAAGATAGAACTCGAACTCTACAAGTCAGTTAAGGAAGCTTAGAAAACCTATTGAAGGGGGTTAAATAACAATTGAGACAGACGTCCAAAAAGTCACAAGATTTCGTAAATGCATGCAAAAGATGACAAACCATACTACCAAACAAAGGCTAAATTGTTCAACTTACGAACATAATAATGCTCATTCATAATTCTTAGTCAGAATTTTCTTCACTCAACATACCACACGAGCATGCACATCCTTTGACATATAAGTTAGAACTAGTCCTATCGTCGCATTGTTCTATTCGTAATTCGTAAGCACTCCGGATGTTTAGACATCGTCATAGAACCTCTACCTGAGGAGCACTACCAAAAAGATCTTCTGGCGTTGATGTGCACAACAAGATCATATCCAGATCATCAGGATCAACCTCTGCCATCTCAAGTGCTTTCCTTGCTGCTTCAGCTGCTAGAGAAGTCAGAGTTTCATTTCCTGTAAAAAATAGAGGAAAGCAGCAATGGTAGTTAGTAATCCTTGTGCAAGATTCTCATTAGCAAAAAAAAAATGCAGGTTAAAAGCAATCATCTGAGCAGTGAAAACCAGAAATCAAATTCCATTGAATATGCAACTTCTAACTTTCGTTGATTCCTGTAAGATGTGAAATTATTGTCAATGCAAAATAAAGAAGCTACGCTCATACTTTACAGCAACAGCAAAAGAAACGTTTCAAACACATCTTTTCTTTCTTCTCTAACATGGCTTAATTCTTGATATCTCGGTTTCCCTTCTTTAGTTCTCACATATTTTTCTCTCTTTACATGCATTATCATCTCCCCATACAATTAACAAAATGCATAATGAAATCCAAACCTGTAAGGACTCGTCGATTACGGATCCCAGTACGATCAGCTATCCACTTATCATTAGTGTCAACCATTTTGGCGAGTTCGTCATTTGAAATCTGAAGACTTGGAACTGCTGAGCCAGATCCAACAAGTTTGCAACCTTGCATAACTAGCCTGCAGATTAAAGTTCCCCAAATTTAATAGCCATAACAATGAACCAATAATTTCCACATCTTGTCTCATTAAGCACACAGCATAACATCTATTCATCATACTATCATATCTTAACAGACATCAATAATTTCAATTCTCCAATGCTTACAAAGTAGCACGCCTAGCAGCATAAACCTCTGAAGAAGCTCATCCTGATACCTAGTAGGTGCATTATTATTCCACTATGAATGTAACCCCCTTGTAAACAGCAGAAACTAGGCAGCACAACAGCAAAAGGGAAGTGCTTCCCTTCTGATGATGGTGCGACATCAACTCCAAACTTTGATATATAGTGTAATTTACTTCATTTCTCTTCTAGGATGAGTACACAACAGCATCCAAATATGATCCAAACCCGATGCCGGTGATTTCAGACAGAGCATAAAACTGAACCAAGAAAGAGGAAGTAGCCAGATTGACAGTTGTCCTGCATTACGAAGTCATCAATCTATCAACTGAGTTCATTCCTTTTATTCCTGCAGGAAAATCTAAACTGAACGTCTCCCACACCAATAGAAATGTGTCCACAAAGTGTAATCAGCAAATCCTTCCCAACATCATTTTAGCGCCAACCATAGCAAAAGTCAACTACCCAGAGCTTACCTACAAATCATGTCATTCATTTTGTGCATGATCCTATTTATCTACAATACCAACCAGAAAGTACATGCCTTCCACCGTCCTAACTTGAAACTACCCATGCAACAATACTCTTGCAGAGTAAATTTTAATTTCATTCAACTGGAAAGCCAAACAACAAACAGTAAGAGAGAGCTGCCGTTCCACCTGGAGAGGCAACTAGAAGTTTGAAGAAGCGAGCAAGAACACTGACCTGGGCATTCGAGATTGAGAAGGGGAAACCTTTTCAGCAGCACCTTCAACAGTGCTGGAGCAAAAAAACCCCTTGGGGATTCCCTTAGTAGAGCAAAACCCAGATCCAATAACCCCTATAGAAGGCTTCATAGTCCTCCCTAAGCTTGGAACTGATGGACTCAAGAACCCAGACACATTGGCCATATCACTCTTTCCCCAAACCACTCCCTTGCCCCCAACCTTGAAAATTTTCGCCAATGCCGTGAAATATAAGCAAAAGAAGGGATCTTTCACACTTGGCTGAAATCAGGGCTGACAAACAAGGCGACAAGTATCTGATTGAAACAAGAAGGCATGGGTTTTGAAGGAAACGGAGGAACCCGACAGACAGAGAAATAGAGAAGAGTCAAGCGACAGAGAAGAAACAGAGGTTTATTGAGGGAGAGGGGCTGGCTGATGTACTCTAATTTTCGGCGTGGTGAGCTAATGATCTTTGGAAGCTCCGAAGAATAGAACTGCCCAACGTTTTTATTAAAAGGGAATAGGTGGGGAGTGGGGCGATGGTGGCAACACGATTTTGAGGAAATCACAATGTTTCTCTAATAAAATTTCCACTTCCCGGAGAACTCTCCGGCTCCCCCTCTCGTGAAAATCCTTTTCTAACGTCCTCTTTTTTCTTCTGTCGCATTTGGTCCAGTCCTGGTCAACCGAACTGCATTTACCCAAAATGGCCAACCCAAAATTGGTCCAAAGTCCAATCCAATTTCAACCAAGACCGGACAACATTGGTCTGGTCCGGTTATGTAGTCAAAATGCGTCTTATAACGCAAAAACGCACACTTTTACGTTTCTGATTAGGCAAAATGCTTCAGTTTCTACATAAAAGCGTATTATGTGTAAAACGGTCAAAACGCGTTTCTAATATGTTTTTGTGTGTTTCTAGTTGAAAGAGTTCCAACCGATTTCACACCCTCTCTTCCAACAAACCAGCAATTAGAACATCGATCCCTACGGTCAAATCAACCTAAAACGAGTATTA